CCATATCCCCATCCCCGTGTCCCCATGTCCCCATGTCCCCATGTCCCCATCCCCATCCCATCACTGCTGGGCTCTGGGTTTCCTCCTTGCTGTGTCCCATAGGAGCAGCTCCATCCATCCACCTCACCCCACAGCGGCCGTTTCCTCAGGAATCCTGCTAATCTCATTGTGAGCAGGACGGCCTCATTTGCCCGTGATTTTAATCTCCCTCCGAGTTTTGTTTCCTCCTATGCAAAGTGGGAAATGATGCAATGCTTCAAGTAGAGGATGGGATCGTCCACACCTTCCTGCTCCATCTGCAGCAAAGAGCCCCAACCACAACCCAAACTGATGATCCTGGGGATTCCCTTATAAAGCATTGCTGCCATCACTGGGTGCCTCTCCACCCCTCAATCTTTTGCAGAATGCTGTAAGCATAGGAGCTTTAATGCACAAAAAGACCTAAAAGTGCACAGCTTACATAAAATGGGAATGGGAAAATATTGGGTTTGGCCACATTTCTTGGCTGCCCTTTGGATGATGCTGTTGTTCTCTGTTACAATTGGGTAAGAATGAACCTCAAGGGAAGAAGTTAAAAACCAAAGCATGGAGGGAGCGCTGTATTCCTTCAGCCAGGAAACCTGCATGAGTGTTGTAAGCAAAAATGGTGTTGGGTGGGAGGCAGCAGATCCGGAGCTCCGTGGGCTTTGTTCTCATGTGGGCCACTGGCAGCAGCATCTATAGCAGATGAGAGCAACCCCTGAATGCAACCCCTGTGTGCAACCCCTGTGTGCAACCCCTAAATGCAACCCCTGTGTGCAACCCCTGAATGCAACCCCTGTGTGCAACCCCTAAATGCAACCCCTGAATGCAACCCCTGTGTGCAACCCCTTTGTGCAACCCCTAAATGCAACCCCTTTGTGCAACCCCTGAATGCAACCCCTGTGTGCAACCCCTAAATGCAACCCCTGGATGAAATTCCTGTGTGCAACCCCTTTGTGCAACCCCTAAATGCAACCCCTTTGTGCAACCCCTGAATGCAATCCCTGTGTGCAACCCCTGAATGCAACCCCTGTGTGCAACCCCTTTGTGCAACCCCTGAATGCAACCCCTGTGTGCAACCGCTGTGTGCAAACCCCGTGTGCAAACCCTTTGTGCAACCCCTAAATGCAACCCCTGGATGAAATTCCTGTGTGCAACCCCTGTGTGCAACCCCTGAATGCAATCCCTATGTGCAACCGCTGTGTGCAAACCCCGTGTGCAAACCCTTTGTGCAACCCCTAAATGCAACCCCTGTGTGCACACCTTTGTGCAACCCCTGAATGCAACCCCTGTGTGCACACCTTTGTGCAACCCCTGAATGCAACCCCTGTGTGCAACCCCTGTGTGCAACCCCTAAATGCAACCCCTGTGTGCAAACCTTGAGTGCAACCCCTGAATGCAACCCCTGTGTGCAACCCCTTTGTGCAACCCCTAAATGCAACCCCTGTGTGCAACCCCTTTGTGCAACCCCTAAATGCAACCCCTTTGTGCAACCCCTAAATGCAACCCCTGTGTGCAACCCCTGTGTGCAACCCCTGAATGCAACCCCTGTGTGCAACCCCTTTGTGCAACCCCTGAATGCAACCCCTTTGTGCAACCCCTGAATGCAACCCCTGGATGAAATTCCTGTGTGCAACCCCTGTGTGCAACCCCTCAATGCAACCCCTATGTGCAACCCCTGAATGCAACCCCTGTGTGCAACCCCTAAATGCAACCCCTGTGTGCAACCCCTTTGTGCAACCCCTAAATGCAATTCCTGTGTGCAACCCTGAATGCAACCCCTAAATGCAACCCCTTTGTGCAACCCCTGAATGCAACCCCTGTGTGCAACTCCTTTGTGCAACCCCTGTGTGCAACCCCTAAATGCAACCCCTGGATGAAATTCCTGTGTGCAACCCCTGTGTGCAACCCCTAAATGCAACCCCTGTGTGCAACCCCTGTGTGCAATCCCTATGTGCAACCCCTGTGTGCAACCCCTGTGTGCAACCCCTTTGTGCAACCCCTAAATGCAAACCTTGAGTGCAACCCCTAAATGCAACCCCTGTGTGCAACCCCTAAATGCAAACCTTGAGTGCAACCCCTAAATGCAACCCCTGGATGCAATTCCTGTGTGCAACCCCTGAATGCAATCCCTGGATGCAAACCTTGAGTGCAACCCCTTAAATGCAACCCCTGGATGCAATCCCTGTGTGCAACCCTGAATGCAACCCCTGGAGGCAAACCTTGAGTGCAACCCCTGTGTGCAACCCCTGAATGCAATCCCTGTGTGCAACCCCTGTGTGCAAACCCTTTGTGCAATCCCTGAATGCAACCCCTGAATGCAACCCCTGGGCACAGAGCTCCTTCTACACGAGCAGGGAAAGTGATGCACTCAGCCCCAAAACAAATGTGGTGCCAAGGCTCTGCTCGTCCTACTGCACTGCCCCATTGCCCCAAAGAAATCCCAATTTCATCAATTCCCCCATCAGCATTGTGCTGCGTGTTCAGTTGTGATTGTGACATCCTCAGATTGTAACAACCCCAGCCCCAAGCCAGCAAAAATCCCTCGGAATCCAGCCTTGAAGCTTTGCCAGAAACTCTCCTTCCCACCCCATCAGTCCTTCTGATGAAAGCAACCAGAATCCTCATGGATGTGCCTCCCACCAGCTCCAAAAACACAACGTTTTAACTCTTTTCTGGCTCCCATGCTGCTGACACAGCCCCCAGCCTTATCCTGCTGGGATTCCTCCCTGTTGGAATCTTCTATCAAATTTTGGCCACTGCTGAAGTTTTGATCGTGATGCTGTTGAGAGTGGAGGTTTGGGACGCTTGGGAGGGGAGCTGGGATATTTAGGGGGGGGAGGG